ACCCAATTTTTTTGCAGGACTGAAACAGGAAACACAACTTTATTTTCCCAAGGCCCACGCAGGTGTTTACACTCAAGTACGATTCAGACTTCTAAGAATAAATGTGGTGTTTCCGGTTTTTTTTAGACTTTGGCTTTCTCTAGTGATCTAACTTGTACAAGACAGTTTAACCAAGTAAGGCCACACCAAGTAAATTTTATGGATGACGTCCGCGCGAGCATTGATTTTGGCCTGTTCCTAGAAAAAAAAAAACAAGAAATTCCGCTTCCTGTAACTATGACCAAAGAGTCACGACAGTGCCGCAAATCGTCAGATTGACGTGAAACCCGTAACGCCGAAAGCCTGTGCCTGGTTAAAAAATGAAAAAAAAATGAAAAAAAATGGCACTGAAAAAAATCCTGTCAATAGTTCCAAAACAGTGCCGTTTTTGGAACTATTAACAGACAGGACGGTCCTGTCAGCAGTGCAATATTTCTAATCTAGGCATCTTGTTTTTTAGGGCCCTTCTTGTTTTTTTTCGCCCTCTCGCATTAGATTTAGGGTCTCCAAAGGACGTCATCCATAAAATTTACTTGGTGTGGCCTAATACTCGCATGAGATCACTTTAATTTTCAATGCCAATGTTGGAAAACCGATTGTACAACGTTTCATCACTCATGTGTCAGATCGTGGAGCTAGAAAAGGTCGAACAGCTTTTTTTGTGTACCCCTTGCAGGGGTACACAAAAAAAGGCTAGGGTCGTCAGTTTTTTTCTAGGGTTGGAAACAGGAAACACAACATTTTTTTTCCTAAGCCTGACGAGAAATAACATCTGCGCAGCTTTGTGCCTATTAATAAAATGTACTTAAGCTTAAGCACGGCTGCAGCTAAGTACTACCGTTGCACTAATCAGAAAGCAGCCCCCCCAGGAAGTCACCATTCCGGTAGCTTTATACAACTCAATGTCTCCAACTTATACCTGTCTAAATTCATTACCACCAGCTACACTGCGGCGTCCTATCTGTCTGTTCCTTTCTGTATCCACACACAGCCGGTGAGGCAGTTACTATGATCCGCCTACAGCCTGGTGATAAATAAAAGCGGCGCAGAGTGAGTGATAAGAGCGGGGAGCTGGTGTGAATCACCTGCGAGTCGTGTCCCGGGAACCCCATGTGGACAAGTGTGGACTATCACTCACTCCTACGTACGTACTAAAACTGACCAAATCACGTCTTCTTGTCAGATTGTAGGATATAGGACGTGATAACGTATTTTTCTTTGTAAATCACTGCTATTTTTGTTGTTGAAACTCCATGTGGACAAGTGTTATGTTGACTCCTACGTACGTACTAAAACTGACCAGATGACGGCTTCTTGTCAGATTCTAGGACCTAATAACGTAATATACAATGTGGATTTTTTTTGTAAATCACTGCAATTTTTACCTTCGCCAAGAAGGTTATGTTTTCAGGGGCGTTCGTGTATGTGTGTGTGTGTGTGTGTGTCTGTCTGTCTGTCTGTCAACACGATAACTAGAGAAGGTCTTGATGGATTGTCTTGA